AAAATGGCCACAGGACGGACACGTTCATCCGTTAGTTACTATGCAAGGGGTTGAAGAGGGCTTGTGCTGGTCTTCTTGTATGTAACATTAATCTCACATACAAGCTGGGAAAGGAAGGAAGTTGAGCACGGACCGCAATGTTCAGCCTGATGCCAGGATGAAACTACGACTTTCCAGAATTAGACAGGGGCAGGAAACTTCTAAATATTGCTTGTGGCTTGCCCGACCACAAGACAATATTTCAGGATAGACTGCCTCTGAGCCTGAAGGTTTCACCAATGGCAACCTGGCTGGAATGACCCTCGGTTTCCCTCTGTCTTTCCAAACAGCAACAATTTTGACGAAGTCCCAAACAAGGCAGGAAGATGTCGAGTTTTCCCTTAATAACTATGGCCTTCAGGAGGTCAGGAAACAAAAAGGCCAAGGGGCTCCAAAATCATGAGGACTAGGAGCCCACCTAGACCCCCCACATAGCCAAGCATTAGCCGATCACTACGTTGCCCATCTTCCTTAGCTGGCAAACCACCCCAAATCCGCCTTCAGAATAATACAATCCTCTTTCAGTTTCACCTTTAAGAGGTTGCAAAAGGGACATAGGTACAAGGAAGGCGTTCTTGTGAAAAAACATCTCCAACTTCCTTGCTTCGTTCCCCCTCTCTCTTTGGCCAAAGCCAGGGACAGCTGTGAAAACACACAATTCCTCCTTCCCCCGGCTGCAAATAAGCAGCACCAGCAAAAAAAAACAAAAAACCCACTTTACACAATAAAATTGGGGATGTTCAACCCTGCTGGCACAGAGGGAGGGAAGAGAGTTAAGTGGTGTTTTCACACTCGGCATCAGAGAACAAATGAAGTTGGGCTATTTATGTCTAATGCATCGGGTGGGACCTTTGACTTGTGAGCATCACAGTCTGGTTTGGAAGCATCCCTGCTTCAGACAGGAAGGCGCCCGTGCGGAGAGTGGTGAGGACTGCAGAAAAGATCATTGGCTGTTCCCTCCCTCCCATCCAGGACATAGCACAGAAGCGTTGCTTGAGCAGGGTCCGTAAAATTATCTGGGACACTACACATCCTCTTCACGACCTGTTTTCCTTGTTACCTTCTGGGAGAAGGCTTCGTGGTATCTGTAGCAGAACATCCAGATTCAGCCATAGTTTCATTCCATACAGCATTAACCGTGTGATCTCTCAAGCTTCCTCCTTCTGTTATACACTCAAGATGGACAGTATTTAATATTGATTTGCTATGTATATGTAGGGGTGTGGGCCTATACCAGTGATGGCGAACCTTTTAGAGACCGAGTACCCAAACTGCAACCCAAAACCTACTTATGCATCGTCGGGTGCCGGGTGGGCGTGGCCCATTGGCTGGGCATGGCTGCAGTGGTAACGGCAGACTGGGTGGGACTAAAAAGTTCAATCAATCAATTCCAACTTTGCAAGATCTTTTTTTCCCCGCGAGAAGTTGAAATTGATTGATTGAACGAACTTTTTTTTTTTGCACATGGCGGCGGAGGCCTAAAGCGAAAAGGTTTTATAAAACCCAGCTGAAGGCCTAGGACTGGGGCGAGGGCGTGCGTGCCCACAGAGAGGGCTCTGAGTGCACCCGTGCCATAGGTTCGCCACCACTGGCCTATACACGTTGTACATAGTATGGTTAGATGTGTGACATGTAGGTGTTTATATTTGAGAGCGGGCAACTAAATTTCATTTTTGACGTGTGCCGTCGTGCCCACAGTAAAAACATGACAATAAAGATTATCGTATCTTATCTTGTTGAATCTTATTACGGAGATTTGGGCCTGCGCCCAGCCGACTTGACTCAGCCATAAAGCCCCGCAAAGCATCTCTTGGCAGACTGGAGGACGTGGGGGGGAGAGGAGGTGTACCCAGCCTCTGTTTGCCCCCATCTGCCCCGGGGCACGTGGCACGCAGAATGAGGAAGAGAACAGAGGCAGCTTCAGAAGAGAAAGTTTGAGTTTGCCAGACGGTGGGCGCACGAGAATCCGGGACTCCGAGTGCCGGCTGAAAATAAGCTTTTGCTGCCAAGATTTAGCCTGAGCCGGTGGAAATCTATTTTTAAGCTTCCGCAGGAGAGGAATTGCAAGGGAAGAGGATCAAAGGGGCAGAATTTATCACCCTCCGAAGAGAAGAAAGGACGGGTTCAGACCATCTGCTTCCTTTAGCATCTGCAGTTTACCGCAGTGCAAGGGTACAGCCGTACCAACTACAAGGAGATTGCTTGTTGACTAACAATTTAAGCTGGGGTTTTCAAAGTGTGAGCTGTGTTGCTGAAGAGTCTGTACGTTATGCTAGGAGTCGAAAAGTTCTGACCGGCCCTCATACAGGTTGTGAAGAATGAAGTAGGGAGTGTATTTGTCTGAAATGAGCAGGGGGTTGGACTAGAAGACCTCCAAGGTCCCTTCCAACTCTCTTTCTATTCTATTCTATTCTTTCCATATTCTATTCTGTTCTGTTTTATTTCTATTCTATTCTTTCCATATTCTATTGTTCTGTTCTGTTTTATTTCTATTCTATTCTATTCTGTTCTATTCTTTCCATATTCTATTCTGTTCTGTTTTATTTCTATTCTATTCTATTTCTACTATTCTATTCTTTCCATATTCTATTCTGTTCTGTTTTATTTCTATTCTATTCTATTCTATTTCTACTATTCTATTCTATTCTTTCCATATTCTATTGTTCTGTTCTGTTCTGTTTTATTTCTATTCTATTCTATTCTATTCTATTCTATTCTATTCTATTTCTGTTCTATTCTATTCTATTCTTTCCATATTCTATTCTATTCTATTCTATTCTATTCTATTCTATTCTATTTCTGTTCTATTCTATTCTTTCCATATTCTATTCTATTCTATTCTATTCTATTCTATTCTATTCTATTCTATTCTATTCTATTCTATTCTATTCTATTCTATTCTTTCCATATTCTATTCTATTCTGTTCTATTTCTATTCTATTACTCTATTCTTATTTGTCCGTAAAACAGAAACAGAGGTGGGACATTTTAGGGGGCTGGAGGCTATAACATATGAAGAACGGTTGCTGAATTGGGTATGTCTAGTTTAATGAAAAGAAAGACTAAGACTGATATGATAGCAGTGTTCCAATATCTCAAAAATTGAGAACTACCTGTGAAGATGGTATGAATTTTTTTCAGCTTCCTCTTCCTCAGAGCATATACATATGTATATGTATATACATATACATACATACATATATATATGTTTGGCTGATATCAGGCATAATGTCCAAAGAGGAAGGAAAAAATTCATTTGTAATTATGATAGTAAGAGCTGGGCCCAACAAAAGAAAGCTTCTGCAGCCAGGAGTAGTCTACCTTTAGAAAACGTGACGAAGAAGAGAAATCCTTTGAAACCTCAGCAGAACGAAACTGGAGAGGAGAAAGAAACGAGGCCAGGAAGACACACACCCACAGAGACACAACTGAATGTCAAAATCTGTGTTTTCTTTTCCAACGGTCTCAAAAAGAAGACACACACACACACACACAAGTTCAACAACTGAGGACTGGTAACTAAGGAACGAGGAGGGAGAGAGCAGCCAACTCAAAAAAAAAATAAAAATATATATTGATAGGGACAGCAAAAGGGAAGAAATTGTGCTCTTTAATTGCCGGGACAAAGAATTGACACCTGCTCGTCAAGACCAGACCCCCAACATGGAGAAGATTGGCCCCCACCACCAGCTAAATCTGTGGGGCTATTCTCACCCAGGGGGTTTGACAGGGCCTGGCTCAGATCAAGCAGGGCCCTTCAAGATCCTCATTTGGCTAAGAGAGAAGCTGGCAACTGCCCAGGTACCAGCTCCGGGAATCCTGAAGGCTCCTGTCTTCTTCCGAGTTAATTTACGGATCCAGCAAGCAGGAGTGAAGCCACTTTCTGTGTAAATCAGCCAGCAGTAGCCTCGGAACAGCCAAAGATTCCTGTTAGTGGTAAATCACTGGCAGTTTATTGCCTTCCCAGGAAAGCACTTCTCTTCGAAGGAAAAAAAAAAAATGGAGAGGCTCAAAAAATGATATTCCGGGAAGGAACGGAAAAAAACCCCAAGAAATTAAGGGTGAACTCAAGGCTGGACTTGGGAGAAATTTCAATCCGCTGGTAAATTCAAACATGAATGAGAGAGACCCTCAGCCAGAGAAGGATCCGGAGGACTTCTTAGCTTGGGGAACTTTCAACTCCCAGAATTCCCATGGCTTAACTCTGGCCGTTTCTCGTCACAAAAAAAACAAACACGGGGTTTGCAAATACCAAACAGGAGACGGGGAAATGCAAACGGCTGGGGAGGCAGCAAGAGCAACCCAGCTAAATAAAATAAAATAAAATGCAAGGCCGGGAAAGATTTTCAGAACCGGCGGGAGGAAAAAGGCAAATGAAGAAGGCAGCCTTTGATTATTTTCTTTCCACCAAAGGGGGGCAATTTTTGTTGCTGGCCAGATCCTCCTTGTTTCTCTTCCCCCCCCCCCAATAAAATCCTACCTGGAAGCAAGCCAACAGGAGGTAGGAATTAAAGTGCTAGTGGAAACCAAGGGGAGGAAGGGGGAAGTCAAAGGATGTTTTCTCCTGGACCTCTGAAAGGGATCCTTGGAAAACCAGAGGCAGGATTTCTGGACGCCACCGGAAGCCTGAAACGGGCTAGCTGGTCCCAGAATTGGAGAGAGGCCCCTCTCTGGACCCCCCCCCCATCTTTCTCCTTGCCCTTGTCTTCTCCCAGTCGTGTGCGTGGGAAAAGACCCCCATTGACAGCGTTGATATCACCAGGAGACAAACGGCTCCAGGGGTCCCATTCTGCCACCAGGTGAGTGGTCCACAGGCAGGGAACTGCGTTCCCAGCAGCGCCCGTGGAACTGGATCAGAACCCCATCCCACCCCAAGAGAACATGCACCCAAGTAGCCTCACCCTTGAGTTTTCTCTCTCTCTCTTTTGGAGAGGGGAAATGGGCCCGAGGAGTTCGGTGGGCTATAAGCCGGCCCCGCTGAGGAGGGGGATCTCCAGTCCGCTTCTTAGCAGCGCCAGGTAAAGGCCGAGACCCCCCGCCCCGGCCATCAGCACCCCCAGCAGGGCCTTGAGGAAGGAAGTCCGGCTGCGGGTGAAGGAAGGCGGCCCCATGATGCTCAGCAAGGCCGTGCCGACAGTCAGCGTGTAGAGGATGGAGAGCCCGGTGTTGAGGGCCACGATCTTCCCGAACTTGGCAAAGGGGGCGATGATGCAGAAGAAGAGGGGAACGGTCGCCACGACGGTGGTGACCGCGCTGGAGACCACCGCCACGCCCACGTGCCGGACGGACTCCACCGTCCTCCACTGGCGGCTGGAGCTGGGGTCCTGCGGGCAACAAGGGACGGGGTCAGCTCCGCTTCCTCTCCCCCCTCCCCAGGCCTTTAAGACCGTCTGTCCCATTCCAGGGGATTTTTTCCTCCCCCTTGGACAGGGGTCTTCAGACTTGGCCCTTTTAGGAATTGTGGACTTCAACTCCCAGAATTCCTCAGCCAGTGTGCCTGTGGTTCTCCCCCCCCCCCCCCCCGTGGATACTTTGACACACAGAACGGAATGCATGCTATGTTAGGGTGGGTCTCCCTAGTGGGAGAATAGAATAGAATGGAATAGAATAATAGAATAGAATAGGAATAGGAATAGGAATAGGAATAGGAATAGGAATTAGAATAGAATAGAATAGAATAGAATAGAATAGAATAGAATAGAATAGAATAGAATAGAATAGAATAGAATAAAATGCAGAATGGAATGGAATGGAATAGAATAGAATAGAATTGAATAGAATGGAATAGATTATAGAATAGAATAGAATAGAATAGAATAGAATAGAATAGAATAGAATAGAATAGAATTGATTGTAGAATAGAATAGAATGCAGAATGGAATGGAATGGAATGGAATAGAATAGAATTGATTGTAGAATAGAATAGAATAGATTATAGAATAGAATGGAATAGATTATAGAATAGAATAGAATGGAATAGAATGCAGAATGGAATGGAATAGAAGCTGGAAGGGACTTTGGAGGTCTTCCAGTCCAGCCCCCTGCTCAAGCAGGAGACCTATACCATTTGAGACAAGTGACTGTCCAGTCTCTTCTTAAAAACCTCCAGTGATGGAGCTCCCACGATTTCTGGTGGCAAGCTGTTCCCCTGGCTAATTGTCCTCACTGTCAGGAACTTTCTCCTTAATTCCAGGTTGCTTCTCTCTTTGATCAGTTTCCAACCATTGTTTCTCGTCCTGCCCTCTGGTGCTTTGGAGAAATAAACTGACCACCTTCTTCCTTGTGGCAGCCCCTCAGATACTGAAATACTGCTATCCTGTCTCCCCTGTTTCTTCTTTTCTTAAGACTAGCCAAACCCAAATCCTGCAGCCGCTCTTCGTACGTTTTGATCTCCAAGCCTTGGATCATCTTAGTTGCTCTTCTCTGGATTTCTTTTTCCCCAAAACTCTCAACATCTTTTTTTGTGATGTGGTGAGTTTGGGGGGGGGGGGGACGGAGCGCCCTTAACAGCTCTGTCTCCCTGTTCCAGGATTGGTGGTGCCCTGCGTGATTCTCTCCTGGACGCAGAAGTGAGGAAGAGGAAGAAGAGGCAAAGCCTTACCTCGGCCAGGTGAGGGGGGAGGCTCTCCCCGGCCAGAAGGAAGCCCTCCACCAGATGCACGCAATAGTCCACCGAGGAGCCCACCAGGATGGAGAGCGAGACGGCTTCCACGGCCCCAATCTCCCAGCCCGACCAGTACATGACGGTCACCACCAGACAGACGACGCCTGGCGAAAGAGACCGGCAGACATCAAAGCTCAACGCCGCTCTTCCTGGTTTCAGGGCTCCGTTTTGAAACCGAAACCACAAGTTTCATCCCTCCCAGCCTGACACGGATTTGTTACCGGTGAAAGGAGCGACGGTTTTGGGAACTTTTTGGGACTGGGAAAAAGACAGGCTCAGCACCACCTCTTGGCAGCCATCTCACTTGCCCAAAGTCCCTCTAAAACAGGGGTCCCCCAATTTTTGTGGCTGGAGGGGGGAGAAGAGGGAGCTGGGCCAGCATGAGCAGTGCGCAAGTTGAGCTGCATGCGTGCAAGTGGAGCTGCGCGCGGGTGAGTTGTGCTGGGTGTGCATGCACACCGGCCAGCTTCTCGTGGGGCCCAGTTCCACACAGGCCACAGCCCACTAGTGGGCTACATCCTGGGGATTGGAGACCCCTGCTCCACAAGAATGCAACAAGAGTGGGAGACTTGCAAAACTCGGTTTCCGGGGAGAGTCGGCTGTTTGCTCCGACATCCAGGTGAGTTTTTGAAAACAAAAAAAACCCAAAACAAAATCAGGGCCTTTTACAAATTCAGCCGGACTTCTTTCCTGCTCGCACGAGGACAGAGGGGGCTGGGATGGGCCAGGTTTTGACAAAGGGCTTGTACCTAAAATGGTGAGCAGGACAGGAAGGAGGAGGAAGAAGTGGGTGGTGAAGAGGGCAACGGCGGCAATGCAGATCGCCAGGGAAAGGATGAGGCCGTAAAGGGCACTTTGCACGCCTGCAGCAGAGACAGAGAGGAGAGAAGAAGAGAGCGAGAATCACTCTGCGCCAGGAAAGAGAAGGAAAATAATAATAATAATAATAATAATAATAATAATAATAATAATAATGATAATAATAATAATAATAATATAATAATAATAATAATAATATAATAATAATATAATAATAATAATAATAATAATAATAATAATAATAATAATAATAATAATAATAATAATAATAATAATAATAAGAAGAAGAAGAAGAAGAAGAAGAAGAAGAAGAAGAAGAAGAAGAAGAAGAAGAAGAAGAAGAAGAAGAAGAAGAAGAAGAAGAAGAAGAAGAAGAAGAAGCAAGAACTGGTGGGATCATAAAATAGAGAAAGTCATAGAAAATGATAAAATTAAACTGCTCTGGGACTTCAGAATTCAAACAGACAAGCACCTGCAACATAACACCCCAGACTTAACAATTGTCGATAAGAAAGACCAAAAAGTCTGGATAGTGGACGTGGCAGTGCCTGGAGACGGCAGAACAGACGAGAAAGAACTGGAGGAGATAACAAAATACAAAGACCTACAAATAGAAATAGAAAGACTGGCAAAGGCAAGCAAGGGTAGTACCAATAGTCATAGGCGCCTTAGGTGCAATTCCAAAACAACTGGAGCACCACTTGGACACCATCATCGCCATTGACAAATTCACCATTAGTCAATTGCAAAAGGCGGCCTCTAGGAACTGCTTCCATCCTGCGACGATATCTGTAATACCATCAAACATCCACATCTGCCTATCCCAGGTCCTTGGGAAGGACTCCATAGGTAGACAAAATGCCAAATCCAGTCTGAACATCTGGCTGACTGTGCGATTATCAATAATAATAATAATACACAATTGCACCAGGGTTTGGGAGAGGCAGATCTGTTTCCCTCTTTCTTCCTACCAGGTAGAAATTGGGACTCAGCGGTGCAGAGCTCAAAGTGCAGGTGGGAGCATCTCTCACTATCTACTTTGCATAGCTGTTTTTTTGGGGGGGCAGGAATAGGGCAGAGGGAGGGAATCCTACTTATAGGGCCCTAATGGTTCATTTGTTCCTGCCTCAATCAGTTCCGAAAGGAGGTAGAATAGAATAGAGCTGGAAGGGACCTTGGAGATCTTCTAGTCCAGCCCCTGCTCAAGCAGGAGAACCTATACCGTCTCAAGACAAGTGGCTGTCTAGCCTCTTTTTAAAAATCTCCAGTGATGGAGCACCCACGATTTCTGGTGGCAAGCTGTTCCACTGGTTGATTGTCCTCACTGTCAGGAAGTTTCTCTTTAATTCCAGGTTGCTTCTCTCTTTGATCAGTTTCCAACCGTTGTTTCTTGTCCTGCTTTGGTGAATAACTATAACAATAACAATAATAGCAGAGAGAGCTCAGCCAGGCCAGGAAATCCATTCCACAGGAAGACCAGGACTACACCTGGTGGACTCCTGTCAGCTTCGTGGTGCTTATTTCCCCTCCTTCTTAGGTGAATCAGGGAGGCACTTATGTTTATTTTGCTTCCCGGGACTTCCTGGAATTATTTAAATAATCTCTCAGCCCCCTTTGCTTGGGTGATGGCTCCCATCTATCTTTTGTCTACAGCAGGACTCTCCAGACTTGCCAACTTGAAGACTGGTGGACTTCAACTCCCAGAATTCCCCAGCCAGTCACGCTTGTGGACTTTTGGCTGGGGAATTCTGGGAGTTGAAGTCCCCAAGTCTTCAAGTTGGCAGTGCCTTGCTCTACAGTAGAGGTGGGGAGCTATGCCCCCTTTATGACGGGTGGATTTCAACTCCCAGAATTCCCCAACCAGCCCACGCTTGTGGATTTGCGGATGGGGACGATGTGCTGGCTGGGAATTCTGGGAGTTGAAGTCCACCTGTCATAAAAGGGCCCTAGTTCCCCACCCCCCTGCTCCACAGCACTGATCAGGAGTAGTGGGACATGTAGTCCAGCCCTGTTCAGGAGTAACAGGAGATTAAGATGTCATCCGTCCTGACTTAAGAGTAACATTGCGAGCTGGCGTGGAATCGCCGGCTGTGTCGAACGGCCAAGTGAATTTATTTCATAAATATATCTGCTAGCAGCAATCAATCATGCTTATTTCTCATTCTGATCCTGCCACTCACCTATGATTTCCATGAAGATCTGCTTCCAGTGCTCACAGGTCTGGAAACCCCGGCGTAGTGAAGATCCCTCTGGAAACTTCTGGAGCTGGTCCTGAAGGAAGGTTTCCCATTTGCGATAATCGGAATAGGTTTGGAAGGACGATTTCCCCTTGTAGGTGGTCTGAAGAAGGAAGGGGTGGGAAATTAGAGGAAAAGGAGAGGGCAGAATGACAGAATAACAGAGCTGGAAGGGGCCGTGGAGGTCTTCTAGTCCAGCCCCCTGCTCGTGCGGGAAAGCCTTCACCAGGGGCCTTCAAACTTGGCCCTTTTATGACTTGTGGACTTCAATTCCCAGAATTCCTCAGCCAGGCACGCTGGCTGAGGAATTCTGGGAGTTGAAGTCCACAAGTCATAAAAGGGCCAAGTTTGGCTGAGGAATTCTGGGAGTTGAAGTCCACAAGTCATAAAAGGGCCAGGTTTGAAGACCCCTGCCCTATACTATTCCAGACAACTGGCTGTCCAGTCTCTTCTTAAAAACCCCCACTAATGGAGCACCCACAACTTCTGGTGGCAAGCAGTTCCACTGGTTCATTGTCCTCACTGTCAGGAAGTTTCTCCTTAATTCCAGGTTCCTTCTCTCCTTGGTGAGTTTCCATCCGTTGCTTCTTGTCTTGCCTTCAGGCGCTTTGGAGAATAGCTTGACTCCCTCTTCTTTGGGGCAGCCCCTGAGATACTGGAAGACTGCTATCATGTCCCCCCTCGTCCTTCTCTTCATTAAACTAGACAGACCCAATTCCAGCCGCCGTTCCTTATATGCTTTAGCCTCCAGTCCCCTAATCATCTCTGTTGCTCTTCTCTGCACTCTTTCTAGAGTCTCAACATTATTTTATAATACGGTGGACAAAACTGGATGCCGTCCGATCTCTCCTGGGCTGCCTTCACGGCACACTCTTAGTTTAAGTGGGAATGACCTCGGTGAGTCGATGGAGAGCTTCCGACTGGACAATCCTTGGATAAGAGGCAGCTGAGCCCACAGAAGGAAAACGGTTGTGGGAAGCCTTTTAGTTTTCTAACTAGCAAGGAGGGGAGAAATAGTAGCTAGTTTTCATTGCTTCTTGTTTGGACAACTCTGAAGGGCGAATATCAATTTTTGAAAACATTTCTTCCATATTTTCTCCCCCACCCCCCGAATACTCAGACTAGATGTGTGATCATATTGGGAAGCACATCCGGGAGGCTAAGCGTTTGAGATGTTTTTCTTTCTTTCTTTCTTCCTTTCTTTCTTTCCCAGTTCTTTCTTTCTTTCCCAGTTCTTTCTTTCTTTCTTTCTTTCTTTCCCAGTTCTTTCTTTTCCTTCTTTTTCTTTCTTTCTTTCTTTCTCTTTCTTCTTTCTTTCTTTCTCTTTCCCAGTTCTTTTTCTTTTTTTCTTTCTTTCTTTCCCAGTTCTTTCTTTCTTTCTTTCTTTCTTTCTTTCTTTCTTCCTTTCTTTCTTTCCCAGTTCTTTCTTTCTTTCTTTCTTTCTTTCTTTCTTTCTTTTCTTTCCCAGTTCTTTCTTTCTTTCCTTCTTTTTCTTTCTTTCTTTCTTTCTCTTTCTTCTTTCTTTCTTTCTCTTTCCCAGTTCTTTTTCTTTTTTTCTTTCTTTCTTTCTTTCCCAGTTCTTTCTTTCCCAGTTCTTTCTTTCTTTCTTTCTTTCTTTCTTTCTTTCTTTCTTTCTTTCTTTCTTTCTTTCTTTCNTTCCGCCGCGCCCTCAAGACATGGCTTTTTCAACAAGCGGGACTGACCTAGGGTGAATTTTAAATAGGGAATAATTTTTAAAAATTTTCAAAGATTTTAAATATGACACAGCTATTAATATATTTGCTTTTTAATTGGTTTTATAGGGGAAATGTTTTTTGTGTTGTTTTTTAACATGCTGTGAGCCGCCCTGAGTCCCGTGGGGAGAAGGGCGGCATATAAGTTAGTGCAAATAAAATAAATAAATACAGTAGAGGTGGGGAGCTATGCCCCCTTTATGACGGGTGGACTTCAACTCCCAGAATTCCCCAACCAGCCCACGCTTGTGGATTTGCGGATGGGGACGATGTGCTGGCTGGGAATTCTGGGAGTTGAAGTCCACCTGTCATAAAAGGGCCCTAGTTCCCCACCCCCCTGCTCCACAGCACTGATTAGGAGTAGTGGGACATGTAGTCCAGCCCTGTTCAGGAGTAACAGGAGATTAAGATGTCATCCGTCCTGACTTAAGAGTAACGTTGCAAGCTGGCGTGGAATCGCCGGCTGTGTCGAACGGCCAAATGAATTGATTTCATAAATATATCTGCTAGCAGCAATCAATCATGCTTATTTCTCATTCTGATCCTGCCACTCACCTATGATTTCCATGAAGATCTGCTTCCAGTGCTCACAGGTCTGGAAACCCCGGCGTAGTGAAGATCCCTCTGGAAACTTCTGGAGCTGGTCCTGAAGGAAGGTTTCCCATTTGCGATAATCGGAATAGGTCTGGAAGGACGATTTCCCCTTGTAGGTGGTCTGAAGAAGGAAGGAGTGGGAAATTAGAGGAAAAGGAGAGGGCAGAATGACAGAATAACAGAGCTGGAAGGGGCCGTGGAGGTCTTCTAGTCCAGCCCCCTGCTCATGCGGGAAAGCCTATACCAGGGGCCTTCAAACTTGGCCCTTTTATGACTTGTGGACTTCAACTCCCAGAATTCCTCAGCCAGGCACGCTGGCTGAGGAATTCTGGGAGTTGAAGTCCACAAGTCATAAAAGGGCCAAGTTTGGCTGAGGAATTCTGGGAGTTGAAGTCCACAAGTCATAAAAGGGCCAGGTTTGAAGACCCCTGCCCTATACTATTCCAGACAACTGGCTGTCCAGTCTCTTCTTAAAAACCCCCACTAATGGAGCACCCACAACTTCTGGTGGCAAGCAGTTCCACTGGTTCATTGTCCTCACTGTCAGGAAGTTTCTCCTTAATTCCAGGTTCCTTCTCTCCTTGGTGAGTTTCCATCCGTTGCTTCTCGTCCTGCCTTCAGGCGCTTTGGAGAACAGCTTGACTCCCTCTTCTTTGGGGCAGCCCCTGAGATACTGGAAGACTGCTATCATGTCCCCCCTCGTCCTTCTCTTCATTAAACTGGACAGACCCAATTCCAGCAGCCGTTCCTTATATGCTTTAGCCTCCAGTCCCCTAATCATCTCTGTTGCTCTTCTCTGCACTCTTTCTAGAGTCTCAACATTATTTTATAATACGGTGGACAAAACCGGATGCCGTCCGATCTCTCCTGGGCTGCCTTCACGGCACACTCTTAGTTTAAGTGGGAATGACCTCGGTGAGTCGATGGAGAGCTTCCGACTGGACAATCCTTGGATAAGAGGCAGCTGAGCCCACAGAAGGAAAACGGTTGTGGGAAGCCTTTTAGTTTTCTAACTAGCAAGGAGGGGAGAAATACTAGCTAGTTTTCATTGCTTCTTGTTTGGACAACTCTGAAGGGCGAATATCAATTTTTGAAAACATTTCTTCCATATTTTCTCCCCCACCCCCCGAATACTCAGACTAGATGTGTGATCATATTGGGAAGCACATCCAGGAGGCTAAGCGTTTGAGATGTTTTTCTTTCTTTCTTTCTTCCTTTCTTTCTTTCTTCCTTTCCCAGTTCTTTCTTTCTTTCCCAGTTCTTTCTTTCTTTCTTTCTTTCTTTCTTTCTTTCTTTCTTTCTTTCTTTCTTTCCCAGTTCTTTCTTTCTTTCCTTCTTTTTCTTTCTTTCTTTCTTTCTCTTTCTTCTTTCTTTCTTTCTCTTTCCCAGTTCTTTTTCTTTTTTTCTTTCTTTCTTTCTTTCCCAGTTCTTTCTTTCTTTCTTTCTTTCTTTCTTTCTTTCTTTCTTTCTTTCTTTCTTTCTTTCTTTCTTTCTTTCAAGTTTGGAAAACCTGGTTCCTGAGGACTAGGAGCTTGGATCTATTTTTCCGTTCTGGAGAGAAAAAATGGGCCCGGCGAGCTCAAAAAGCCAGGACTGGAGTTAAGGGGTGTGTGTGTCTCTCACCGACTCAAAGGCCATGGAGATCCATTGGATCTTGCCGTCCTTCACCCCCACCGTCCCGTGGGAGAGCTGTCCGGGAAGCAGGTTGGGCTCGGGCAGATTCTTACATTCCGAGTGTAGCATCTGAAGGATAGAGGAGACACTGTAACCTAGAAAAGAAAAGAAAATCTGGGTTTTTTTCTCTCTCTCATGCGTTCCGGAAGACCCAAAGCTGGGTCCGCAAAAGTGCCCACGCATCTACGTTCGTAATGTATTTATTTTATTTATTTTATTTAGATTTGCACAGGCCACCTGTCGAAAAATAATAACGCTGGGCATCTCACAACAACGATAGGCATGATCCACACAATCCTTCCTTTTTCTTGGGGAAAAAATCACCACCAGTGACAGCCCAACTCCAGGCAAGAAAGGATCTCCGCTGGATTGCCCAGCCCGCCCCAGCTGTATCCCTCAGCCATCGCCATCTCCTTTAAGTCGACCAACTTAATCGAAACAGCCCCGCTTCTAAGATTTCGGACATCCCGAAGTGCAGAATTCATTCACAGGCACGAACCTCATGAGGACTGGAAGCTTAATGTCGAGGGGGATTCTCAGTCCTCCAGGTCGTGGTTGTCCCCGAGGTGCTTTTTTTCAAGAGACAATTGGACTTTCTTGGGGGTTTTTTTTTTGAAGACGTTTTGATTCTCACCCAAGAAGCTTCCTCAGCTCTGGGGAATGGAGGGATTTATACTCCTTGCAGACAGCTGGTCATTTGCATCCTTTGAGAGAGTCGTTGAGGCCACTGGAGTCCTCAGTGGTGCAAATGGGTGTGGAGCCTTCTTGGAACTGTTGAAAGGACGATCTAGGTCAGGGTCTTCAGACTTGGCCCTTTTATGACTTGTGGACTTCAACTCCCAGAATTCCTCAGCCAGCGTGCAACGCTGGCTGAGGAATTCTGGGAGTTGAAGTCCACAAGTCATAAAAGGGCCAAGTCTGAAGACCCCTGATCTATGTGAAAACTGAACAGCCCTCTCTGAACAGAGGGGGAGGGATATGACATCATCTATCTCCAGTCTACAACACAGTCCTTTCAGCAGTTCCACATCCATTTGCACCACTCAGGTGACTCTGAGGACACAAGATAAACCTCCAAGTGGCCTCAACGGCTCTCTCAAAGAATGCAAATGACCAGCAAATGTCTGCAAGGAGCAAAAATCCTTCCATTCCTCACCATCCAGTCAGAGATGAAGAAGCTTCTTAGATGAGAAGCAAAGGAAACACAAGAAAGTCCAGTTGCCTCGTGGAAAAAAAAGCACCTCTGGGACGACTGGAAGCGTACTGTTTTTTGTTTTTTTTAAAAAAGAGAGATTCTTTTCATTCTGCTTTTCTTTTAAGGAGTGCCCACTAGAGATGGTGGCCCATAGAATGGAGGCCTGAGAAGGGGAAGGGGAGATACCTGAAGGCAGGCACTGGGCTCCTCCTGGCTTGACTAGTTCGGCGTTGCTGGCGATGGCCTTACAGATCCGGCAGAGGTTGCTGATTTCTTTGAAGAGGTCGAAGCTGCTGTCATAGATGACGCTACCCTTTCCAAAGGAGATTCACGCAGCGAAGAGGACATGTAAGAGAGCAGACCTGGGGCGGCTCCCCCACACACACCCCCACACCCCAGGAAGGGACACGCACCATGTCTCCAATGACGTGGTTGTCGGTGTGCCGCGTACGGTTGACCCCAAGGATCCCAAACACCACGAAGACCATGGCACCCGTGTCCACCAGCGGGCGCACGGCCGGCTTCCCGCAGTTGCCGTTCCGGCAGGGGTTGAATCCTGACGTGATGGAGAACTTGGATTTGACAGAGGCTGGAGGAGGAGAGAGGAGAGAGAGCAAGGGAGTGGCGTAGCTGTATGGGTGATGATGTACCGCGTTTCCTCCAAAATAAAACTGGGTCTTATATTAATTTTTGCTCCAAAAGACGCTTATTTTCCAGTTAGGTCTTTATTTTCGGGGAAATATGATACTAAATGTATCCGTGTGGCTGATGATCTTAACTGGGGCTTATTTTGGGGGGTAGGGCTTATATTACGAGCGTCCTGAAAAATCATATTGGGGCTTATTTTCCAGCTGGGGTCTTATTTTCAGAGAAACACGGTATGACAAGGCAGAGGACCAATATAAAGAACCCCGTCTTTGACTCGGGTTGCTGGGAAATTTACGTTCTGGCCCAGAACCTAGGAATTATTATCTAAATAACATCTTCAGATAATAATAATAATAATAATAATAATAATAATTGTAATAGTAGTACCAATAGTAATAGGCACCTTGGGTGCAATCCCAAAACAACTGGAGCACCACTTGAACACCATCATCGGCATTGACAAATTCGCCATTGGTCAATTGCAAAAGGCGGCCTTACTAGGAACTGCTTCCATCCTGCGACGAGATCTGTCATACCATCCAACATCCACATCTGCCTATCCCAGGTCCTTGGTAAGGACTCGATAGGTAGACAAAATGCCAAATCCAGTCTGAACATCTGGCTGACTGTGCGATGATCCACAATAATAATAATAATAATAATAATAATAATAATAATAATAATAATAATAATAATAATAACAACAACAACAACAACAACGACGATGATGTTGGATGGGACTTCGAAAGTCATCTAGTCCAATCCCCTGCTCAAGCAGGAAACCCTATACCATTTCAGACAAATGGCTATCCAGTCTCTTCTTAAAAACTTCCAGTGTTGGAGCATTCACCGCTTCTGGAGGAAGGTTGTTCCACTGGTTAATTGTTCTAACTGTCAGGAAATTTCTCCTTAGTTCTAGGTTGCTTCTCTCCTTGGTTAGTTTCCATCCGTTGCTTCTTGTCCTGCCCTTGGATGCTTTGGAGAATAGCTTGACTCCCTCTTCTTTGGGGCAGCCCCTGAGATATTGGAAGACTGCTATCCTGTCATTGCGATTTTTGCTATTATTGGAACGCTGCTATCGTGTCTTTGTAGTCATTTTAATTAATACTGCGGATCTTTTAAAAAAGTGGAATTCTGATTTTAAAAAAAAGGAAGGAAGGAAGGCCTTGAACCTCATTCTCTGCTTCCTCTCCCAGCACGGCAGCAAGCTGTAAGTGTGCAAGAAAGAAAAGAACACACACACACACACACACACACACACTTCACAAGGTGGCTCACCTCTCTCGCTTGGCACAAATAAGTATCCTTTGTTGGGTCCATCTGGACTGGAGCTGAGGAGGCAGCCCGGGGGTGCCAGGCAGACCCGGCCGTGGTACGGAGGCTTATGTGACTGGGCAAAATACAGCTTCCTGGAGAAAGGAGAAGAAATCCACTGGTGTGACAGCCAGCTCAGGACACACACAGACACACATACAGAGACACACAAAGCTATCCCCAATCTAGCACTCTCCAAAATTTGAAGGAAAAGGAAGGAGAAAGCTTCAATCCTGGAGACCACAACAGCCTCCCCCAACTTTGCCTCCGTCCAGTGATTCATTGCCAAGCGCCTTCGGCCGTCCGGCCGTCTGAATCCGTGCCAGGCCGGGTCCGCCCACCCGCTCGGCATTACCGTGTGCGCTGTTGCTCCTGGGCAGCCACGTAGAAGCTGAAGTCGGATTTCCACCCTCTCTTGGCGTCGCATGACAAGCTGGTCATCATCCACTTCTTGCTGGCCCCTGGTTGGACATGCCCTACTGTGGACATACAAGCGGTCAGCCTCTTGGTGAAGTTACCGTAAGGAACGTTATACACCTAAGCATGGATTAATGAAAACACAACACTTAACTGTAGGTCTCTAGTGGCTGGCAGGAGGGGGCAAACAGGGCACTAAAGATAACTTAAGCGTGGCATGCCCCTTTCTCTCTGGCCCAGATGATGAGCCAGGAACGGGCACCTGCCACCTGACTGGCGGCTGAAAGAGCCGCAGCTAGGAAAGAGGCCATTTAGAGTACTTTGGACGACAGGTCCCACTGCCCACAGCCACCGTAGAAGGATGAGAGGCCCTGCAGTCCAGCAGTAATCTAGACCAGGGATCCCCAACTCCCAGGCTGCGGTGACCTCTTCGCAACCGGGCCGCGTCGTGGCGGGCCAGCGGGCGTGAACGTGCACGCCGCTCAACTTCCATAAGTGGTGGGCCGGCGTGCATGAGGCAGGCTGCTCAACTTGCACGAGTCAAGCTGCACACACATGTTCGCCAGCGTGCCACTCACATGAGCTGAACGGTGGGCACGTGTGCGCACTGGCCCACCGCTTGCGCAGCCCAGTTCCCCCCTCCCCTCCCAAGCCGCAAAGGTTGGAGACCGCTGATCTAGACCCAGGGGAGATGTATGTTGTCTGAGCATCTCAAAAGATGGCGCTCTAAGGCAGTCCCACCCACGCGCAAGCCGGATGATGCAGGACTGAAGGGCGCTAAGTTGCCCGGTTTCCCCTCTCTCCTCTGTGCTGGTTTATGATCCTCCCTGTGGCATAGGAGTCGCCTCTTTGCCCCCTTCGCCTATTGGTGCTCACCTGGAAGGAAGGCACTTCTCCATCTTTTGCGGGCACGGTCTGCCACGGTGCCGGCACGGTGGCATTGAGAGAAAACCTGTAGATCATCGGCCGGCTGTTGCCCTTAGATCTGAAGATGTAGACTGTTCCCTGGGGATCTGGAGGAGACAGGACAGGCGTCAGAACACCCTTCCTGGGTCAGGCCAAAGGGAAAATGAATCGGAGCGGGCAGACCCTGGAATTCAGGGCTCGGTTCAAAGGCAGGCTGTGCCAGTATCCAACGTCTCTCCAATTCAGATGTGCCTGCGTGGAAATGGCCGGTTTCCAGATCTGAATCGGATCAACCCAACTCACTCATTTAATCCCGCAAACGTGGTTTGCTGATTTTCTAGCTGAAATCCCCCCCGGTCGAATCAAGGATTCAGATTAGATTTCTTGAGGACTAGCCACGGAAAGAAGCCTGTAAAACGATCCCGAGAGAAGGACGAAGCTCACCTTGCAGAGCTCTGTCGTCTAGGGGGATCCCTCGGCCTGGGGGCCCCGACCCCCTCTTCTTCTTCTTCTCCAGAGAGGTGCGGATGTTATTCTGCAGATTGCGGGGTTTTTCCTGAAACAAGCCTGTCGCGCAAGGTTAGTCAGGGACACAAGAGCATCTCCAGTCAAGGGCGGCAGCCCAGGCATTCCACACAGAGGCCTCCTGCCGCATAACTCATTCAAGGGACAGCTGCGTTTGCGGTCCGAGGCAGAGTTACTGTGCAGGGGCCTCAGATAGCAGCAAGAAGGAGTGATTTGAGGGTTGGAAATTCCCAGAGGACGAGTCTAACCGATGAGAATGGAACCCAAGGCTAAATGACGTTGCTAGTTTAGGCTAGCAGATGATGGGAAATGTCCTTCTCTTCCAAGTCCTGAGCGTAGAGCAGGGGTGTCAAACTCAATTTCACTGAGGCATTGCAGTTGCCCTGGGGGGGCCGGGGGTGTGTGGCCAGAGTGGGTGCAGCCTACTGGGTGGGCGTGGATGGAGTGGGTGTGGCCTATTAGGTGGGCATGGCCAGCTCTACATCGTTCCCGTCAAGGGTGCCTGTGGGGGCCTGGGCAGGAGTGGGACAGATCTGAGGGTCTCTGGCAGAGAGGGGTGGGACCGGGGCAAGTGCCAAGGCATGGTCCACCGGGGCAAGTGCCAAGATGGCCACCACAAAATTGTACATTGGCTCCCGGCTGGCCTGGGCCAGGGCCAAGGCAGCGGGGGCCGTTCCCTCAGTGTTTCCAGGATGGCTTCGCGGGCCACATGAAACTACTTTGCGGGCCGCATCCGGCCCCCGGGCCTTGTGTTTGACATGTCTGGGGTAGAGTTATTGGGATAAATGGAAGAAAGCCAGCCTGCCTGCCTGCCTGGTACGATGAATGTTTTTTGTTCTTCTGATACAGATAAAGACTAATTAGATCTGGGACCATAAATGGCTCTCGGATTATTGAATCACACCTGCCTCTTCTGGCCGGAAATTCTTAACACGATCAGCGGCTGTTCTCCTGGGTTTCCAATAGTAATTGATCCAAACCTATTTAGTTATGAGTGGGGTCGAACCTCAGATCTTGGCGAGCGCAGGAAATACGAGTTTAGACTCTCTCAGGTTGAGAAGGTGAATCTTTTTAGACAAGTCCAGCTATCAAGGGGAGCTGTAGATGTGCAGGGTGCTGACCGGCATTGGTGAAGATCCCAAGAACTGAATGGGGGACCTTCTAAAGCAGGACTGTCTAACCGTGGCGACTTTAAGACTTATGGACTTCGACTCCCAGAATTCCCCAGCCAGCATTGCTGGCAGGGGAATTCTGGGAGTTGAAGTCCATAAGTCTTAACGTTGCCAAGATTGGACACCCCTGTTTCTAAGGGGAAAGGGAGGGTTTTGTCCTAGAACTAAAGATTTCCCTTGGATAAGAAGATTGATTCCTTCCTTCCTTCCTTTTCTTCATTCCTTCCTTCCTTCCATCCTTCCTTCCTTTCCTTTCTTCCTTCCTTTCCTTCCTTCTTTCCTTTCTTCCCTCCTTCCTTCCTTCCCTCCCCCCTTCCTTCTTTTCCTTCCTTCCTTCCTTTTCTTCATTCCTTCCCTCCTTCCTTCTTTTCCTTCCTTCCTTCCCTTCCTTCTTTTCCTTCCTTCCTTTCCTTCCTTCCTTCTTTCCTTTCTTCCCTCCTTCCTTCCTTCCTTCCTTCCCTTCTTAGTTCCCAGAAATCAGGTTGAAATATCTTGAGGAAACAGGGATCAACCCGAACACAAAACGGAGGTCACTGGTGACACATGGGCTCCGCCTAACTCACCTGAGCAGGTGACACAAGAGATGCCCTCGGCACTCAAGTTGTACTTGAGGTCCATCAACACCTGGATGTTGGTATCGGGCCTGAAGAGCAGAGGGGCACGGCTAGCTGGGCGAAGGCGGCTGGCGAAGAAGATGGAAAGGATGAGAACCAAGACAAAGAGCCCTGGAATGAGAAACAGGGGGCAGACAGAGATTGTGTGTGAGAGGACACTCAGGTGGGCCTCCATAAGCTCGTTTTTAAATCCAGGGAGGGTCTATGTGCAAGGCACTTACCCACAATCACCCATTTGCTTTTGACTGCCGACCACAGGGCCCAGCACTGTAGGAGCTCCTGCAGGTGAGTGATCAGGTGTCCCGGGCTGTCACTGTTGGCGGTGAGCTGGTGGTTTTCGGGCAACACAGATACCAAGGGGACATCCCCCATTTCTAGAGCAACTGGCCAGAAAAGAGAGGGCAAGGTTGAGTTGAAGGACATGATACAAACACCGGGCCACCGATCAGACCAAAGCCCTCTAGATATTGGACTAAGCAAAGTGGTCCAATTCAAAAAAAAAATCACCAACATTTATTCCAGAGGACACGTAGTCCCTGGAATCCAATGACTTGAATTCCATTTTTCACAGAAAGGGTGAACCTGGAAGAATTGATCTGGTCTCAAAGCCATCTTGATGCTGTCCTAGATCATGAAACTTCAGCCTGATCCAGACCAATTGCACCCACTTCAATCAAGACCAAAAGTCCATGTAGTCTTACTTTATAAAGACTCAAATGAGAACCACAGGAAGAGCAAAATGAATTCTACCGGCCTGTGTTCTAGGCATAGGGGTGGTTGGGGAGCACGAAGCATTCCACAAAAAATTATTACACAATCAATTACACAAGTTATTACACAATAACTTAATTAACGATCATTTCAACATGAGCCAGCCGTGTGCGGCAGCAGCCAAAAAAGCTAACACAATTCTTGGTTGTATAAAGAGAGGCATAGAATCAAAATCATATGAAGTATTAGTAGCGCTTTATAAAGCCTTAGTAAGGTCACACCTGGAATACTACATCTGGTTTTGGTCCCCACAGTATAAAAATGATGTTGAGACTTTGGAAAAGAGCAACTAAGACGATTAAGGGGCAGGAGATTAAAACATAGGAAGAACGGTCGCAGGAGTTGGGTATGTCTAGTCTAGAGAAAAGAAGAACTAGGGGAGACATGATAGCAATATTAAAGTATTTGAGGGGCTGCGACAAAGAAGAGGGAGTCAAACTATTCTCCAAAGCACCAGAAGGCAACACAAGAAACGATGGACGGAAACTAACCAAGGAGTGAAGCATCCTGGAACTAAGGAGAAACTTCCTAACAGTGAGGACAATTAACCAGTGGAACGGCTTGCTACCAGAACTTGTGGGTGCTTCATCACTGGAGGTTTTTAAGAAGAGACTGGACAGCCATCTGTCTGAAATGGTATAGGGCAGGGGTCTTCAAAGGTGGCCCTTTTATGGCTTGTGGAGTTCAACTCCCAGAATTCCTCAGCCAGCGTGCCTGGCTGAGGAATTCTGGGAGTTGAAGTCCACAAGTCATAAAAGGACCAAGTTTGAAGACCCCTGGTATAGGGTCTCTTGCTTGAGCAGGGTGTTGGTCTAGAAGACCTCCAAGGTCCCTCCCAGCTCTATTCTGATTGATTAAACTGAAATACCTCCAGTATCTCTAAGAAGGAGACACAGATATCTGGTTTGGGAGCCAAATGCATGTTGATGTGTGTGGGCAGCAGTGTTTTCGACCCACCACCCGTTACTAACCTGGGTCCTCCTCCACACTCAGCAGAGGGATGTCGTCATCCAGGTAAGGCAGGGTGCCCAGGCCTGACCTGCCAGCCACCGCCAAGGAGACGAACAGGCCATCTGGGCTCTGCAAAGCGCTTTCCTTTGTGCATTTTTTACGGCATCTGCAGACCAGAGAGGAAGCCGTGCCAAATGAATTTCTATCTGGGTGAGGCAGCTGTGCCCAGCTTGGTTGGCCGAGCAAAGGGCAGCCCGGCCCAGCTGCAAAACAGCCACACACCAGGCAAGGATCAGGTGCACCTGGGGTCTGAGCATAGGGTTGCCAGGTCTGCTTCCAAAAAATAGTGGACAAGCGGGGGGGGGGGGGGGATTAAGTAGTAAAAAAAAAGTAGACTGTACAGCTTTAGAAAATGTACCATTTCATCATAAAGCTTTTGAATAAAAAAAATGTCCACTATTTTGTGAAAAAAAATAGTGAACATAATGTGAAAAAAGTGGACTGTCTGCTCAAATAGTGGACACCTGGCAACCCTATCTGAGCAATTGCCATTGACAATGCACTAGGCAGGGGGGCAGAAAGAGAAGAGGGGGGATTGTCTGGAGCTCCCCCCCCCAGGTAGCTGGATTCATTAACCAGATTGCTTAACACCGTGCTTGACAAACTTGACTAAGTTACTCCAAATTAGGTTAAAAAAAAAGATATTTTTTTTTCTTTTGGGTAATGACACACAAACGGGTTTCCAATTTCAGGGGTCTTGAAACTTGGCCCTTTTATGACTTGTGGACTTCAACTCCCAGAATTCCTCAGCCAGGCACGAGGAATTCTGGGAGTTGAAGTCCACAAGTCATAAAAGGGCCAAGTTTCAAGACCCCTGCAGTAAATGGTTTGGGGTAAGGAACAATTTGGGAAGCAGAGGTTGGTTTTAACCTGGACTACTTCTCCTACATTCATTTTGAAGGAAAAATAGGTAAAAAGAGAAGACCATCCACGTAAATTCTTTTGGGTGAACCCTGATAATCTAGAACAGGGGTCCCCAATCTCCAGTCTGTGGACCAGTATCAGGCCACAGCAACCGGTCCGCACAAACAAGCAAAGCCCCATCCGTGGGATGCAGGTAGCACACAAAACCACGCACTCTACGGTCCGTGGAAAAACCTCTCTCCACCGAACCGGTGCCCCAAAGGTTGGGGACTTCTGATCTAGAAGACTGTAAATCTTTTTGTCTTTTGCTAGAGAGGCACAGCTGCAGCCCTGCTTTACAAAGCAGGTTTTTTTTAAAATAAAAATAAAAATAGATTCAATTGACTTTACCTGGCCTGACAGGTGTTTTCCAGCGAGGACCAGTAGAGAGACCAAATCCCCAGAGCAGCTGGCATGGTGAAAAGGACCCCCACCCAGCAACAGGAGACAATCAGGGACATGAAGAGACCAAAGTCATGGACAGCTGGGATCTGCAGGGGAGAAGGCAGGAGACAGGTAACCATCTCCTGGAGGTCCAAGAATTAAAAAAATAAAAATAAAATAAAAGCACTTCTTGGATTTGATTTTTTTTAAACTCAGAATGGAACCCTTTATGGATTTTATGGATTAAAAGAGAAAAAAAAGATTGATGGTTTGACAATGAGATAGGACAGAATATAGAAGGAAGAGAGTCATGATGTCACTTTAAAATAGTGTTTTCCCAACCTTGATGACTTTAAGATGGGTGGAGTTCAATTCCCAGGCTGGCTGGGGAATTCTGAGAGTCGAAGCCCACCCATCTTAAAGTCGCCAAGGTTGGGAAACATTGCTTTAGAGCAGGGGTCTTCAAACTTGGCCCTTTGATGACTTGTGGACTTCAACTCCCAGAATTCCTCAGCCAGCATGCACGCTGGCTGAGGAATGCTGGGAGTTGAAGTCCACAAGTCATCAAAGGGCCACGTTTGAAGACCCCTGCTTTAGAGAAAGAGGTAAATCTAGAATTGTACTTCTAACTGCTGTAAAGAAGCTTGGAGTCCTTTATAATACAGCAGGCAGCCTCAGTGGAAAGCTGGCTTATGGCCTTGACCCATTGACTGGTACAGGTGGGAAAGCTTGGCTGGCTGGGGAATTCTGGGACTTGAAGTCCACCCATCTTAAAGTCACCAGGTTGGGAAATGTCGCTTTAGAGAAACAGGTAAATGTAGAATTGTACTTCTAACTGCTGTAAAGAAGCCTCTAGAACACTTTCCCAAGCTTTCTGGGTTAGTGGCCTGGTGGGAAAGGGAGAGGCTGGGGCCTTTAGCCACGCACACACACATGCAAATGGGGCCAAGAGCGTGTGCGCGCCGCAAATGGGGCTGCTAGCACCTGTGCGACGCTCACGGTGACACTAGCGTGACGGGGAGTGAGGGAGTGCACATAGGTGGGCACACCGGGCTCAGCCACTCACGCCACGGGCCGTTAGTGGGTTCAGGACCTCTGCTTTAGAATACAGCAGGCAGCGACAGTGGAAAGCTGACTTCTGGCGTGGGTGAGCCACGGACCGACACGGGTGGGAAAGCATGGTTTACCTGTGAGAATATGTTGGCGGCGTATGCAGCCGCCGTGGTCAAGGAGGTGAAAAAGGTGGCTTTGCCGGCCGTCTGGACGGTGTGGATCATCCTGAGGTTGAGGTCCTTCAGGTGCGTGGCCTGCCGATAGGTGTTGACGAATACGAAGACGTCGTCCACCCCTGGCAGATGGCACAGAGAAGAGGGACAGGGTGAGGAGGCGTCTGGGGGAGGGAGAACGGCTGCTGACCCAGTTCGGTCCTCTTACCGATGCCCACGATCACGAAGGCCGCCACTCCGTTCAGGATGCCCAGGTACTGGATCCCGAAGACAATGTGGTAAAGGAAGAGGGCCACCAGGCAACTGATGCCGATGCTGGCAATGCCGAAAAAGGACAGGAAGACTGGAGGAGAAGAAAAGAGGAAGTCTTATTTCTCCTGCTGGCGTTCAGCCTTTCCATCCCCTGAAACGCCCTGGCTGGTGGATCCACAGGCCGTCCTCGCCTTATGACCGTAACTGAGATCCAATATTTCCGTTGCTAAGCAGGACAGCAGTGAAGTTGGCCCCATTTTTACGACCTTCCTTGCTCTAAATCAGTGGTTCTCAACCTATGGGTCGCGACCCCATTTGGGGTCGATCGACCATTTCATGGGGGTCGCCAAGCAAGGCTGTCCGCCATTTTTTCCCCCTTTTCCGGCGGGTGCCTTACCTCCCTTGGGCTGGGCCAGCTGGTGGTCGGCCTGCTCCGTCTCTGCCGCTTGCCAGCTACGCCTCGGCCGGCGCAGGGGGCGGAACCACGCATGCGCGGCGCTCCCGGGCAGGGAAAGTCCTCGACTTACGACCGGTTGGGTAGTCCTCGACTTACGACCGGTTTAGTCCTCGACGTACAACCGGTTTAGTCCTCGACTTACGACCAGTTGGGGTCGCGGCATTAAAAAGGTTGAGAACCACTGCTCTAAATCAACGGCAGTCTTTAAGCTATTAACACGTAGGTGAGGCGAATCTGGCTTCTCCATTGACTTTGCTCGTTGGAAGGTCCCAAGAGGGCATCACGTGACCCCAGGACTCTGCAACTGTCATAAATACGAGTCAGTTGCCGAGTTGATCACGTGACTATGGGGATGCTGTGAGGATCGTTAAGTGGAAAAAATGGCGATAAGTCACTTTTTTTCCATTGCCGTTATAACTTTGACCGGTCACTAAAATGAAATTTTATAAGTGGAGAACTGCCTGCATTTACGGAACTGGCACAGCTGCCTGTCTCCTATCATCGTTTGATTGAGTGACAGCGATCCAACAAAGTGGGGGGGAGATAAAAAGAACAGGATCTTTTTTCCAGGCCCCAATCCAAGCCGGGATCCCCCCAATGCTGGGGGTCCACAGCCCCTCTGAGGGCTCAAAGGGTGGGGAGACCCCTCCGGCCTCAGGTGGGAGGGGGTCCCAGGAGCAAAGGAGGGACCGTTCTCCTTACCTGAGCAGGACGCCAGGAGGTAGACCAGTACCGCAATGCAGGAGCTGCTGATGAAGGCGAGCAGCATGTCGTTCTTGAAAATCTTCCTCACTTCGTAGTCAAACAGGTCCGTCCCGCCGTAGAGCACCTGTACCTTGCTGCCGAGAAAGTGGAGGAGGTTGAGCCAACACACTTAACCTGGTTAAGCTGAAATACCGGCGGTCTTCCACTTACAATAGCAATGGCCACTTATATGATGCGTCACAGGGTTTTGCAGCCCTCTCTAAGTGGTTTACAGAGTCAGCATATTTGGCCCCCCTCAATCTGGGTCCTCATTTTACCGACCTCGGAAGGATGGAAGGCCGAGTCGATCTTGAGCCAGTCAGGATCGAACTCCTAGCAGTGGGCAGAGTTGGCCTGCAATGCTGCATTCTAACCATTGCATATCATGGATGGATGGAAGGAAGGAAGGAGGAAAAATAGCAATAGCACTGCACTTAGACTTATATACCGCTTCACCGTGCTCCACAGCCCTCTTTGTGTAATAAATTATTATTATTATTATTATTATTATTATTATTATTATTATTATTATTATTATTTTAATTTCTATACCGCCCTTCTCCCGCAGGACTCAGGGCGGTGCACAGCATATTAAAACAGATACACATATCAATAAAAATAAAACCCCCTCTAAAACCAAATTAAAACCAAATATTCGAAGCTGTGTTCCAATTAAAATTATACTTAAAATCGTCCCTAAATAAAATCCTCCTTAG